CACGCGACCCCGGCAGTTTTTTTTTTTTTCTTCTTTCTTTTTCCTCACACCATCGGGCCAATTATCACATTCCCCTGCGCTGCAGGATGCATGTACATGGCCGGAAAGGTAACAGCAGGCAGAAACCCAGAGAACGGAAAACCCTCATCATCGTCAATTTGATGGGGGCTCCAAAAAGCATGGCATGGCACTAGCTTCGGCATATCGCATTCGTAATCGTGTTTGGGGCGCCAGCCCAGATCGGCAATCGCTTTCAAACACAACTCCACACTCTCAAGCTTCAACCACCACCTTGTATCCCCCGAGGCTGAGCGATGTACATGCTTTACCTTTGATGAGGTCGATGGCATGCGGGATATTGCGGCAATCTCGTCGATTTCAACCCGGTCGGCAGGCAGAAAGGGGGCAGGGCACATCGCCGAATACGCCATGCATTCCCAACGTAAGCAGCTGTTGAGGATGCACTTTAGGATCCCCTCTCTCCGTGTGGCCCAACAACAGCTACCATGGTCCTTGTAACCCCAATTATTGATGAGGTCTGGATACGAATAAGGGCGTAGGACATCCTGGTCGCGGGACGATGGATTGGTAATGCTGGCAGGATGAACAGTAGTACTGAACTATTCATGATGACTGACCACTTACAAGCAATAGTTATACGCGCTATCCTGAGACTCCTATTCTGAGAATCCACGGGGAGGCATAAAGAACTGGGTGTATCACCCCCCAGAGCTCCTCACCCTTCGCCTCGTAAGCTCACGGTGAAATGACTCGGCGATGGGACAACGCCCTCTTCGATAGAGCAGTCCGTCTTGCGCTGAACACCTTTTACCCTGTATCACCATGCCGTACACAAAACACTTGCTAGAAACGTATTCTCTGAATGCCATTATGCCAAATGTTTGAGTCTCATTCTATCATCTATCAGTCGTTATATACCATTCTCAGCTCGTTTTGCGAGCGCCAGCCTAAACCTGTGCCAGACCATTATCAATCCTCATGTGCGATCCCAAAAATACAAGCAAACTATCCGCGCCAGCAATGACCAATATCAATACATCGTATCCTCCTCAAGGTGTGATGTAACCCGAGTCGGAGCTCTCCTTCTCGGACTTCTTGTCCTTCTCGCCCACCTCAAGCTCTGTCTTCTTCTCCTTGCGCTTCTTTGCGTCGGCCTTCTTCCGCTTCTTCTTCTTCTCCTCGTCTTCATCTTCTTCGTCCTCATCCGAATCCTCTTCGACTTCTTCCTCTTCCTCCTTCTTCTTCTTCTCTTTCTTCTTCTTCTTCTTTTCCTCCTTCTTCTCCTCATCCGAATCCTCTTCGACTTCTTCCTCTTCCTCCTTCTTCTTCTTCTCTTTCTTCTTCTTCTTCTTTTCCTCCTTCTCCTTCTCCTCTTCCTCTTTCTTCTTCTTTTCCTCTTCCTCCTTCTTCTTCTTTTCCTCTTCCTCCTTCTTCTTCTTTTCTTCCTCCTCCTGATCCTCCCTCTCCTTGCGCGTCTGCACAATCCAATCATCTGTTGCGTTCAGGGCTGACAGAGGATGGCGCTTGTGACGCAGCAGAAGACCCTGAATCTCCGCAGGGCTGAACTCGTGTTCGGGGATCTTTGCGGCAAACTCATGCGACAGCTCCTTGATTCTCTCGAGCGCCTCTTCACGGTTCGCGGCCTTCTCATCCGTGGGGTCCGCAACCCGATCGTCATACACGGGGATGTCCTCACCCTCGTGCGGGGCGTAGATGCTGCGGAAGATGGCACCGGCCATCTTGTTGTCGGCACGGCCAAAGAGAACGGTCATATCGACACGACCGGGTCGGATGAGAGCCTTGTCGAGCTTCTCGATGTGGTTGGTGGTCATGATGAGCACGCGGCCCTCCTGGGAGGCCACACCATCGAGGATGTTCAGCAGACCTGAGAGGGAAAGCTTGCCCGCCGGAGTGTTAGTGCCGTTCCCGTTTGACTTGTTCTCTTCATTGTTGGATTCGGGGGTATCCGAGTTCTTGTCTCGGGTGTGAGTCAATCCAGCGCTGTCGATATCCTCCAGAAGCACGACACATTTTCTTGGCAGAGAAGCGAAAAGGCTGGAAACGGTCTCCTCTGATGACATGGGAGAGCTGAGGGAGAGGATATAGATGCGCATCTTGAAGTAACCGGCAAGGGCCAGACTGAGCGAACTCTTTCCAGTTCCCGGGGGGCCATGCAGAAGATAACCACGACGGTAGGGGATACCACGGTTCGCATACCATCTCCGGGTAGCTGGGTTGAGATAATCGGCAATATCGGCAATCAGATCATTCTTGGTCTTCTCCTCAAGGATGACGGTTGAGAATGGTCTTGTGGATCGTGCCATGCAACGCTTCCACTCAGGCTCAGAATTGGTGTTGGCATTACCAGTCGAGCCACGATAGATGAGAGTCTTGCACTCATCCTTCTCGTGGTACATTTCGCGGGCCTCGGCTAAAAGAGTCTTAAGAATAGCAGGATTGCGCCCGAAACACGAGATCTGGATCTCCTCCCTCTCGGAGGCTGAGAGGCTGCTGGAGGAATCGCGGTTGTCTATCCGGTTGAAGAAGAGGGGTCTGGCCTTGAACCAGAAGAAGTGTGAACCATAAGACGGCGTGTACTGCACATCGCGCTTGGTCTTCTTCTTTCGGCTCCAGAAATCTTCTTCTTCATCTTCCTCCTCTTCCTCGTTCTGGTCGTCAGATTCGAAAAATCTCCACATCGAGTAGCTACGGGAGTTGACATTGGTGTTTGCCATGATGTTCCGAGAGCTTCTGGAGAACGTTTGCTGAGTAACCCAAGCCATGACCATGTTGAAAATCTCGTCATCCGTGCGGATACGGACAGATGACATGAGATACTCGCCCACGAGCGAGTTGCAGTAGGAATAAAGATAGGACCATGCCCAAGTAGAGCCGCTGATCAGCACCAAGATGGGCAGGTACAGTGACAAGTCGATACCAAGGTGAGTCTGGAGCAGAGAGGAGACGAGAGAGAACCCCGGGATAATCGTGTCCAGCAGGGCAAACTGCGGGTACTGTCCCATGACGGGCGGTTGAACAACGGGATTCGTTATGTTCTCCATGTTCAGACCGCCGGAGGAGACAGGAACGACAGAATGTGAAGAAAAAGAATTGAGGGCGGGCGCAAAGACAGGTGACGATGTGATGTTCGGAAAGGGAAAAAAAAGGAATCTATAGAATTCTGGCAACTGGCTTGCCCGGTCGGTAGGTTGGTGAATGTTTCTAGGTTGTGAAACCTAGAGAGGTTGTTAGAGGGAAACGCTCCAGGAAAACATTGGACGTGCGGGTGCAAGCGACCTTTATATGCAGCCAGGTGTGCAGACAAGGCGAACCACGTTGCGGCTCATCTCTCCGCTTTTGCCAACCATGACCCCGTATCTCTAGTGAGCTCTAGTCACAAGCAAGAGGGTGAGATACTGGCATCCAGCAGGCCTTGCGCAAGGCACCCATGCATGGATCTGGGTTGACTCAACAGGGGTTTGAATCGCACCAAAGATGGAGATTTCGCAGCTTGTTGGTCGCACCAACAGAGCATGCACCACTTCTTGGCCGCCTATGTCAGGTCATCATTCCAGGCAGCACAGGGCAAGGCAAGGCAGAGGGTCCATGTCTGTCGCTGTCCTGCCTGCGAGGCCGTTGGTGACCACCTGCATTGCATGGTTGTGGCTGGGCCAATGCACTGCAGATCTATAGCGCAAACCTTTGTGGCACGCACGGGGGGCATTGCCGGAGCGCGCGCCACAACAGACAACAGAACAGACAGCAGGTCAACAGCGGTCTGAGTCACGGCTCTGGATTGGCAGCAGATCCGTAGATTAGATTGACAGTGCCCATTCTGGCGCGGATCGATGCACGACCCAAGGCCTCGACCCCATCCCAATACGTAAGGCCAGCGTACATAGCGTAAAGAAGCCGTCACTGTCCAGCGTCCTTCTGCCTAATTCCCAGCGCTCTCCGGCCCCTACCACTGGAGCCTTGCCTCCTCCGCACTCTAGCGCGCCTCTCAGTTGCAACAGTGCCCGCAGGTGCACGCAAGTGGGGCTTTCCGATCCCGTCAACCCGTCTATGCCCGGGGACTGGCAGCAGCCATTGGCCGGGCAGCTTTCCAAGCTAGCAGATATGAGAGTTGCCAGCATGAGGCACCGCCACAGCAAGCCAGCAATCAATTCATGACGGCGCCGCCGCGAACAGCCACAGAGGACACCCACGATGCAGCCAAGAGACCTCACAACCCATCAATTGACCTCACGTCAGCGTGGGGCATGAATTAGGTGGATGCCTCATCCAGCTGAAACTGGGATAGATTCAATGGCTTCTTCCCCTTCGAGTATGATTTTTCGTCCAAGGCAATTCGCCTTGCCTGTGATGCGTGACAGACGCCCGGCATATTGGGACCGTTGAACGCCAAGTGAATCAGCCAGCCGATAACCTCCGGTGTCCAAAGTGGGGTTTGAATGACAAGAGGTGTTGACATTGACATAAATTATCCGATCTCCTAAAGGAAGTACCCAACTAGATAGAGTAGCACGCACGGGCGCGCCCTATGAAAGAATGAAAGAAAAAACCGGCACTTTTGACATGGGAATGTCACTGCCGGTTTATGTAATTCCCATCCGCATTTCAAGCTAAGAAAGAAAGAATGATTACATATCGTGTTGTCAGAACTCCCAGCTGAGCAAGCCCATGCAGTGCAACCCAATTTCTCACGATTCGATTGAGAGCTGAGTGCATTCCTCCACTCCCGGGCTCAGCTCCCGACCCAGCACATGGTCATTCGCTTAGAGCAATGGTCATGTTTCTTCCCACATCCATCTCCAGCGTTTCTGATGTCGTAAGGAAAAGGGTGAGAGTAGACTCTCACCCGACACTCGTATGCTGTCATCCCGCGTTCTGTTACTCCGCGATGGCGACAACAACCTGTACTAGCGAGTGTACCCAGAGGATCATAGTCATTGTAGTCTATGGCTATCATCACAAGATCATCTCAAAGGCCTAAACATGTGGTTGAAGGCGCGTTCCGGGCTGGGGTCCAGGAACGCCACTTCGAGGAGGACCTCCGAAAGTTGGACGACCAGGAACCGGACCAGCTGGGACTGGTCCGCCTGGGACAGGTCCGCTGCCTCTTGTGCCGAACGGGACAGCTGCAGGCCCCGATGGATGAACTGGACCTGGACGCCCTTGAGGAGGGCCAACCGGAGGGCCTCTTGGAGGCATCGCCGCGGCAGCTCGTGGCCCTGTAGGTGGCCACCTGGCCGGGCCCTCTTGCGGGTGTACGGATCCCGCCGAGCGCCCATGATCAATGAAGGATGGGGGAGATCTCGAACGGTATCCGGTTACCCAGTACAGCGAATCGTAGTCCGAGGTAGATACCCTCTTGATAGCAGTTGCCTTATACGGCGCACCGGCCGCGAAAGCCATAAACCTAAGGGCACCACTGTCTTGATTTGGTATTCTTCTGTATGTTGTACTAGATGAATCATCACTCCTCCTAGATGATTTATGTCTATGAGAGGAGGAGGAGGAGGAGGAGGAAGAAGAAGACGAGGATGATGACGACGACGAGTATGAACTAGCGGACGAATCTGACGAGTGCGATGACTTGCGACCCATTGTGTCTCTGCCTGCTAGCAATTGAACTCTGGTCACTGGCCACAGGCTGAAACTAAAACTGTTGGAGATTTGGTTTGGTGAAGTGGTTCAAAACGCGTTTGAAGCTGGTCTCAGTGAGGACTCAGAGAGAAAAGGAAAGCGACAGCTGGGCTCTACACCGTATTATATCCCCATCATCCCTAAGCCTACATGTATGAAAATGCAGAAAAGTGGTTGCCTCACTTCTCGTACAGCGTACCATTGCTACCGAATGTGCAGATCCCCTCATGTATAACTCTGCTTGGTAATTGGAGGCCGTAGCAGTTGAGAGTGCCGGCTTTCATCACCAGTAGGACCTTTTGCCAACAAACCATCTCAAGCCGCTCAGCTTATTCGGGCGGGGTATGGTCTAATTCGGCTAGAAAACGAGAATAAGGCTCCCTACTGCATGTCCTCTCATTGCATGAATTGTGTTCAACGCGACTTATCATCTCGGAACGAAAAGATGGTGTGATGATGTGCAAAAACTACGGGAGCTCCGGTTGGCAGTTGAGGTTCCCTCCCAAATGGCAGTAATCTGGCAAAGATAACGAAATAGAGCTTCTGCTAGAAAAGAATATATTGAAAATGAGCATTATGCTTAAACGTCTAATAATGGCCCAATTAATACTGCGTGTAGAAACAGTTCAGGCTTATTTATGTTCCTGGGGCACATAATCAGCGAGACGTGCTAACTGCAGGCGGGAAGAGACAAGTAGATCCACGCAGTGACAGATCACCAAGGCCAGTAAGTACCGTTGTCTGATGAGAATTTTCTGCTCCAGGCCCAGAACAGATTTCTGTGCCTTTTTACGAACCGGGTCTTCACTCTTACTTCTAGGCAGGGCTCTCCAAGTAGAGCATGATATCACAAAGGCGAGTGCACCATACCATGCTTTTGAGTTGGGACCTGAGAGAGAGGTCGGAGCTAAAGTGATTTCCTCCAAGGTGGGAATAACCCGACAGACTAGTAAATGACCTTATTCATGCTCGTGGGTCGCCGCGTCGAAGAGTGTCATCGAGTATTTATTTAATCCTACCGTCTGGGGACGCGGGCCAGCGAGGTACGCGTCCTCAAATGACCGCTGCACGCTAAAGTTTCGGCACTCGTATGATTTTCCCTGGATTGAAGGGCGAACAGGGGTGTTTTCCATTGACTTTCTGGGGAAGCCGATCAGCAAACAGGACGCATCAAGAGGGCGAACTTCGCCACGCTCAGCATTCTCAATCAGATGGTTGGCGGCAGCAGCTGTCTAGACTCTCAGCATTGAAGTCATGGGTGGCATGGGAGGGGCCCAAGGCCAAGACAATGATGGTAGCCAAGAGCCGACAAGGTTAGGTTTATTGCTGGGTCGCTAGTCACGGGTGGGGGGACATCTTACTTGCCCTGCACCATGGAAGGTTTGTGCCCCCTCATTCCGGCTCGGAATTGCATGTTGGAATCAATTAGCACCGGTGGGCAGCATGGCGAGCGGACCATAGTATGTCTCAAGGGACCGATGACACCCTGACCAAAACGAAAAGAAGGCAGAGTCCTTTTGCGAATGCCATCACAAGCCACGCACTCTCTGGGAAGACTGTGCATTCGGCACACGGCTCCCGATGCTGCGACTTGGAAAAGGGGTGGCAGTCGTCGCCTGCATGCTTCGCCTCACCCCAAAATGAGGTGCAGTACGTACTCCAGCACCAACAGCCACACAGTGCCATCCTTGCCAAGCAGCCAGCACCAGGCGACGGACCCAGACGACGGGCCTTTTCTCAGATCCAGTTCTCGGTTGGTGGGCACAACAGCAGGAGATCCCGACTCGTGTGGCGCCCGGCCAATCAACGCCGCCTGCGTGCACTAGGCACAGGTAGTTGCCCATCCCCCTCCCAGGCATTTCCTGCTCCAGCACGGAAGGGGCACAGCTCCCAACTTAATGGTCGCTGGATAAATGCAGGCCACCCCAGCATTGGAGGAAACCACAGGGGCATCCTTCGCGCTCTCTGCATGCCCTGATGCCTGGTTTTCCTGTCGATGGGACCACGAATCCGGATCCCAGAGCACTGTTGACGCCGTCACGCATCGTTTGGCCACATCAGGCCAGTAATAAACTCAGGCCAGCGGGTTAATAAGTACCGTATGTAGGCACCACGCACGTAGCCGGTAGGAACAATGCACAGACGGCCCGACGGTTTTCAGCAGAGGCGCCGAAAAAATCTTATCCCACACTGGAAGACCTTTGTCCCAGTCGCTGGACGCCCCACCATCCAGCCCTGTTTTGGCGCATTTTGGCGCATTTACAGCGGATTAGCATTGGTTCGGGCCACCAATGCCAGCTTGGCACTTCCCCGTAGCGCACGGTGGAAGATTACGGCCAGCACCGCTATAGCGCGCCGACACTGCTGGGTGCACGGGTTATTCTGACCACCCGGCTCCTAACCTGCTCAGTGCGGCCCACTCACCACATGTATGACTGAAGTGTGTGGTTTGGTTCCCTCCTCGCTCGTAGTAGGTAATGTACCGTGTACCGCTGGTCCTGTCCCAAACAGTCAGCCGTTCCTCGCCCTCCCATCCGTCCACCCCAAGTCCTCCAAGTCGCCATCAACAACCCGTGTCTGCCATCGGTTCCATCCATCGCCACCCTCCGCCCGCTGAGCCCTCGATTCACGCAATTCGCAGCAATTACGGTCCTCCCCCCCGGCTCGTTGACTACGGGCGCCGTGGGTCCGCGAATTCCCTCGACTCAATCGAAGTTCCCGGCGAGGTTCCTTGCTGCAGCCCAACTGCAAATTCGGCACGACGCTCTGATCGAATGGTGACATCGGCAAGCCATCGGGACAGGTGACACTCCAGACAATCCGACGACGCTCCCCGCGGCCTCTGGCGGTCGCCAGGAGCAGTGTGTATGCGGTTGTTATAAGGGGCGATTCCCCTGCACGTCGACAACGCCTCGCTTGCCACGCACGAGATGGCCTTCCCTGAGGGCGGTGGTCCTGCTGCTGGTGGACGGTGTTCGTCGACGGAGAGGCCACGGAGCCTGTCAAACGAGAGCGAGAGCGATGAAAGTTATGATTTGACCGAATTTGCCGTCGCTGATGGCTTTCGACCGTCCGACGCAGCTCCAAGCCTGGCCGCACCCGCCGCGAATCCCCAGGGCCATTTCAAGCCCCATCAGCAGCCTCTACTACAGCGGCGGTCGATAAGCTCCTCATCCGCCGCGAACGCCCTGTCTTCTCCTCAACCCGAGCAGCCGACGACTTCAAACCCCACAAATGACATCAATGTGTTGCTGGACCCCAACCCTGGGCCTTCAATACCGCGACCCTCCAGTGTCTCAAAACCACACCGACCACACGACTCATTGTCGTTGCAAAATGATGGATCAAACCTCGCCTCGACAACCCAAACAAGCCTCTCTCACCCAACCGCATTGTCTTCAAATTCATCCTCGGAACGAAATGATGGAGGTCTCCAATCGACAACAGGACCAACACTCGCAAACCCGGATCGCGGGCCAGCTCATCCCTATAGCTTATATCCCCAGAATACTATGACGGTGGACGATACCAGCGAAGAGCATATTCCAGTTGGGTTTCCTGGCATAGCAACCACGTATCAGCGTCAAATTGGGCCGGACGGCGAGGAGGCTGGAGGGTTAATAGGCCCGCTCGGCCATACTGAAGAGCTTCCACCTTACACCCGATATCCCGACCCAGTTTATACACGTAGCGGACCATCAGCTACCACTCCATCTGGAGCTTCTGCTTCCACATCAGCTGTCACTCCACCCGCCACTGCTACCGCCGCGGCAGCGGTCCCCCCCGCAACCGCTCATTCCATCACCATTGAGCCTGACGGCTCCCAAAGCCCAATCGACTCCTCGTCCCCCACACGGACAACACACAATTCAGAGCCGGCCGAGATGACCTCTGCCGGAGCAGTGGTACGCCATGTTGACGAGGCATCGCTAGAAGGACAATCAGGAAGGTCTTTGCGCAGCGATAATATATCAGATAATAGCCGCAATGGCCTCAACTCCGCCACGAGGGTCATTACAGAAAAGCTCCCAATGGGCAAATGGCAGAGAAGAGCCAGAAAACGGCTGTGGGGAGTTATCCCTTACTGGGCAATTTGCTTGGTGTTAACGGGTGTGGTGATTCTTGCCATTATTATGGGAGCAGTTATCGGTACAGTATTAACAGGGAAAAACAAATCCGACCGGTCTTCACAAACAGATGTTGAGCCTCTAGCCTCCATCCCCCCCGATCTAGCGCCACTCGCCACAGGCCTTTTTGACCTACCTCCTCTAGACGTCACCCAATCTCCTCGGATCTGCTTCCAGGATACCACCCAAGCCCAAGCTTGGAGCTGTGAGATGCCTAACCGTTACTACTCAATGCACGTGGGCCCAAATAACAATTCTACCAACCCTGTTGAAGACTTCGAGTTCACGATGAGGGCCATCAACGGAACCAAGTCATTTTTTGTTTGGGGAACCCAACCACCAAGCATTGAAGTTCCACTTACCCTCAAACTCGTCAATGACTCTTTTGAGCCCTCCCGAGGACCGGCATGGTGGTCTAAATTTGAATACAACAAGGTTGTAATCATCCCAGAGAGTGCAATGCAAGCACAGCAGACACGAGACGAGTGGACCTACACTGGCAATCCCTCTGTCGACAC